GCAATTGCCGAGATAACAAGAATGGATCCCTGTGTGGGACAACAAATTTTCATAATGACAACAAATCAAGTTTGTAAACCCTGAGTCCCTGGAGTGCATGAGACTACATTAAAAATCAGATAGTCACAATCCAAATATTGGTCATCTGGAAAAAACATAAGAAATATCCAGGATGATAATACCTCCTGAATGCGTTCTGTCTCTTCTGCAGTCAACAAGGAGGTTTTCATTCTCTGAACTGCCTGCACAAAGTAAAAATATTAAATTTTCACTAACTAGAAGTAACGAGGAAATATTCCAAAAGTGAGCATCAAACTGAATGAAGAACCAGACCAGCCTATGCAGTAGATTTTGATTCGTTCTTCAATTCAATTCACTTTAAAATGTAAACACGTAACACACCCACTTAATTTTTGTTGTGATCTAGTCTATATCCCTTGTTGTGTTTCAAATTCAATTGGGTTAAGGTTTTTCAACAAGCAGAGATACAGCTGAGAACTACCATTCATGGACCTGGATTTAAGATGTACCTTTATAGGATTTTCCGGCGCCTTGGATGAACAACGATTTTTCTGCATAACAAAAATCTGCAAAAAAAGCAGCATATGTTGTTCAAGTGTCACAATAATACTAAATAAGACAGCTCTACATGTGATATTGACTTCAAACATCAGAAAATAAAAGACAGACCAAGAGAGTAGCAACACAATTCTCTATCACCAAGAGAAATGTACAGGCTACGAAACCGATGACCAACTAGCATAGCAGGTTAAGCACATGGAAATGATTACTACAAGAACCCCAGAAAACATTATGCTGAATGTACAAACAAGAAAGCAGCAAAAATAGTATGTACATAGCTGCAATGAGGAGCAAACAACACATATTAGGTCATAATTAATCAAAAACATCTTAATAGAGGCTATTACATCATCACGTTTGTGAAGCATCTCAAAAATCAATCCCTGAACCAGAGAAGCAAGGTGTTGCCGGGAAGAATGAAGAATGCAAAGAGAGAATACTTAAACAAGTAGATGAAGATGTTCATGTATCAAACAATGTAGCTGACCTATTTGCTGTGGCGTAAACCCATTCATTAAACCACCCCCTTCTGCAGAAGACACATAGCTAGGAGCAGTCTTAGGTGCCGAAGTTCTCATTGACAGCAGGAAAAGGAGGGAATCCATTAGGAAAAACTGGTAAAAGAGGGCCTTTTTGACTGTTTTAAAAGCTTCTTCTTATATTGAGCAGAAGCCTGTTGATGCTTTTTCTGCCTGGTCACTGGCCGTCTTCCACCTCTCTCATACTTCAATCCCTGACCCTCATCCCTTGCACCATCATCAACATCACTGTCAAGCAACTCTTCAAGTTCAATCTCAAAATCCACATCATTATCCTCATCTTCATCATCAACATTTTCACTCTCTTGATTTGACTGACCATCACCATCTTTACCAAGCAAAACAGCCGCAAGAGAAACTTCCTACATTCTACCTCGTCATAAACATTCTGAAGATCATCCTCATCATCACTCTCATGAAGAAATGTCTCTAACTCATCCAGCTTAAAACTAGCAAGCGAGTACCTAGCCCTCTTACAAATAGCATCCTCGTCATCATCCACATCCAACGCAACCTTTCTCACCCCACTCTCCTTTCCTTGCTCGTTCACATCTTCCACGTTCGACCCAGAACCTGATTTCCTCTTCTTAACCCTCCTATCACCACTACTCCCCAAATCCCTTTCACTTTCCTCCTCAACCCCACTTGCCACAGCAACCTCCTCACCATGACTCAAATCTCCAACATCATCCTTTTGCAATCACTCCTCGCCTCCTTCACACCCTCCTCCAAACCTTCAACTTCAGCCCTCTTACAAATAGCAACCTCCGGCGAAGGCATTCCCTTTAAAAAAAAGGTTAAGATCCATATCTTCCTCCTCGTCCTCTTCCACGTTCTCATCCTCATCCGGGAACAATTATTTTCGGTTAGCAGACTGTTGGCAAAGAGCAAGAAGACTAAATTATAATGTTTTAAATATAATGTACCAACGTATAATTTGTTTTAAGCTACCGGGCACTAAATAATAATCTGATTTTATTTATGAAAAATACAGGTGGAAACGGTGGCGTTTAGTAGATTAATCCCTGAAACATGTTCTGTGTCGATGATCTCCAAGTATTCAAAAACTCAATAGCCCCCTTGACTACTCGATGAGCAGGCATTAACACATTATTCCAAACCTTCATATTCCTCTGATTCCATATAGCCCCAAGAGCAGCTGCTACTTTTGAAATCAAATCCTCATCCAGCAGATAGAACAGGTTGAAGAACCAGTCTTGGAGCTCACAGTCTGATGTCATATGAACATCAATTCGTAACTCCTGCGCCAACGGCACTCAGCAAATGGACAATGCACAAAAACATGTTCCTTCGATTCACCCACAGCTTCACAGAATACGCAGACATCAATGACATCAACCCTCTTCTACTGTAAATATGCCCTTGTTGGGAGACAGTTCTGGCAGGCCTGCCACAAAAAATGCTTTATTTTCTGGGGAACTTTCACGTTCCACGACTTTCTCCATTCTCCCATTGAAGCTTCACCAAGATTAGGACACGCCACCTCAACAGCCACGTGATAGCCCGACTTGACATCATAAATTCCATTCTTTCTATAGTGCCAGATCAGCTCATCATTAACCCTTCTAGAGGATATTGGGATGCTCATAATTGCTAATACATCACTGTGCGGGAAAATCGTGAATATTTTACTTTCATCTCAAACAGATCCATCATGTCCCAATAAATCACTAAACATCAGTGTCTCCTGCCCTAGAATTATTGGTGTTTGAATGTACCTGCAGTTGTCCAAGCTCAACCATGCATCAGGCCATACATTGACTTTAGTCCCTATACGAATACGCCATCGTGTTCATCTCCTGACAATTTCAAGAAGTCCCCTCGCGGGGAAGTATTTAGCTTTGAGAATCGTGTTCACTAGACAATTTGGTCCGGCTAATAACTTTCATCCTAGCTTGCCAAGAAGTGCCACATTAAAACAGCGCATATTGTGAAAACCCATACCACCATTATCCTTCGATCTGCGTCCCACCTCTGCAAAATAACTCCTTGCCTATTCTGCTGGCCATGCCCCCGCCAGAAGCTATCCATCATCCTCTGCAACTCTTCACATAATGTCATTGGCAGAAAGAAAACACCCATCGTATAGGTTGGAATTGCTTGATAACTAGATGTGATCATCACAGTTTTTCCTGCTTTAGACAGCACAAGATTTCTCCATCCATGGATCCTCTTCCACATTCTGTCTCGAACATATGCAAACACGGCCCTTCTATTCGTTCCTATAAATGATGGCAGGCCGAGATATCCATCCAATTCCTGCAAACATTACAAATCTCGGAGCCTATTAGTGCCCAGAATTCCTGGTAAAATTTTGGATTCAGCCCGTCAGGACCTGGGATTTATCAATTTTTAATTATTGTTTGTGACTTAAATGTTATGTATATATTTACACAATTGTATCTTTTTCTAAGAGTAAGTCTGAGATCTATAAAAAGGCAGCTAGGAAAGACATTTCCTGACTAGGATCGACGTTGCTTTCGTAGTATTGTTATTTGTAGGAAAAGTCCTTTTCCTTGGCTCTTCCTCGTGATGAATCTGTTTCTAGTTGCTTGTTTTATTATAAAAAAAAAAATCCATCATACAGTGATAAAACTCATCATCTCATTGAGGCTAAAAACTCCTAATAAAAATATAAATTTAATAGTTTTAAAAATGAAAAGCAATTTAAAAAGGGTGGGATACAAACTAATTAGAAAGAACTTGCCTTTATGGTGTTTTCACCAGAAGATGAGCCCTTTTCCTTTGCTTATCCTTTTGTTGATGCGTTGCTCATTGCTTTTTTGGTGGAGCCACGGCATTTAGTGATAAGAATCTTACTCTTGTGGAAAGCTCACGATAAATGAGAATTGGAGAATTGATAGAGAAGCCAATGAGACGAGGGGGTTATCTCGATAATAACAAGGAAAAACATCATCACGCCAAAGGATGAGTCAAAAGAAGAGAGAGAGGCAATGGTTTTTGGAGAATGATTTTGACAAGTTGAGGACATGTTCAGTAAAAAAAAAAAAACATTTTCATCTCTGTATATTTTCGAGTTTATTTTTTCTGTTTATTCATAGAAACAAAGAAGAATATTTTTCGCAGAAAACAAAAGAGAAAAATACATCAAGATTATTGAATTGAAAGTTGAGTTTAGATCTGATATCAAAATTAATACATGTGGGATATTTTCACCAACTCTCCCTCAGTTAGAGCCTCTCTTTTGATGTTATCTTGTGGATTGAGCTGCCAGATCTTCATTGAGCTTGAATATCTCAATTTCATACCATATAAAATTGAAACAACAATAATAATATTATCCAATCTTCTTTATGCTATTGCTAGTCTATTTCACAAACAGTAGCTTCAAATAATTCAATCTTTTGAGAACTGGAACATTTTCTACCATCAATAATACTAGCTAATCATCATGTTCTACATGAGAGGTAATGAGATTTTGGTCAATTTGAGAATCTACCATGTACAATTAAGAAAAAGATTTTCATCTCCCAAAACATCATGGCTCATCATGGGAGTCTTAAAATAATGTAACATGGATAGGGATGAACGCCAGGTCAAGCTGAAATATGTGTAAGACACTAGGATTCAAAAGAAGCAGTCAAAAAATACCACAGACACCGTCAAGCTGAATCATTTACAGAGCGTGATGTAGATACATTGAAAATGACCGGGTTGGCAAGCTTCATCAATAAAAACAAAAGGTTAAATCTCTAGGATGCTTCATGTTTATTCATTTTGAGACACACCACAAAGAGCCAAGCCAACAAACAACGATATATCACAACAAATCATCCAAGTTTGAAAGCTACCAGTCTTTTTTCAACAACCAAATGATGCTTGGTGACTATAAATTCAGTGCATCTTTCATGCTCTTCTCCTACATCTTCATGAATTGCAAAGACTTCTTGTTAGGAAATGGCAGGCTCGGGTCACACCTCAGATAACACAAATCAAGATACCAAGGGTCGCTTTTCTCTTCTTTCTCTTCCTTACCTTTTCTTAGGGTCAATTAGCTTCTGTAGTATGGTCTTGTTTTCTGATACGGATTGTTTGTTTCAGCTGCAAAGAGTAATCAAGACTCCAACCTGCAGGATTTCTCTGAAGATGAAGAGAATCTCATTGCTAGAATGTTTGGCTTGGTTGGGAAGAGGTTAACTTAGTTTATATATCTTTTCCATTGCATGTCTACTGAATTGCTGATCTTTTAGTGTGAGGATTTCTCATGTTCTTTGGATTGTCCTCTGCATCTATAGGTGGTCACTAATTGCTGGGAGAATACCAGGAAGAACAGCAGAGGAGATTGAGAAGTATTGGACTTCAAAGTATAGATCATCAAAGGAAAGATGACTTTTGTTGGACATGATGATGGTACATGCATGGCCCTGGTAGAGAATTGAGTTTCTGCTTTCTATGGATAAATCCAACAATTTAATAGTACTGTACAACAGCTACAGTTTATACGACTTTCTTAGACATGAGGCAGGAATTCAGTTCCCAATTCCTCAATTGGAGTTAGGGAAAAGCTAGCTCGGGGGTAATATGTGCATGATTTCAGAGTTGCTGAAAACAAGAAATATTCACGTGTAATTATTGTAAAGAAGTTACAAGATTGCACTAGTTTGATTCCTGTTATGCTGCTGCAAGAATTTTTTTTTCTTAAAAAATAATTAAAACTCGATCCTTAAAATTTTAATTGGGTTGAAATATTAAATTTTATCTTCTCAAATTAAGTATTAACTTAACTTTAAAATTTATTTTTAACACCATCAAAGACTCAAATAAAATAAATCAAAATATAATTTTAAACATAATCCACTACAAGATTTAATAATTTTACCGACAGACAGAATCCATCGATATAAGATTCAGACTCCGTTGGTAATTTTTTTACCTACTAAATCACAGACAGAAACTGTCTGTCAACATTAATTTTGTTGATAATACTATATTTCATCACTAAGTCTATCGGAAACAAAAAAAAAAATTACTAATGGTTTTATAGATGGAAATTGCACATTAAAAAAACAATTTCTGCTAGAAATATACCGACGGATTTTTTTCGTCAGTGATAATGGTATATCCAATAAATATGTTGCAACTCTTGGTAAAATGCCGATGGACTGTATCTGCAGGTGAAACTGTCAATGATTATGGCATTTTCAATAAATATTTTTCAACTCTCTGTTAAATGTCCACAAATACATTTTGTCTGTAAATTCATCGATGATTATTTAAAAAAAAATTATTTAGAATAAATAATATAAATTAATAGTAAAGAAACTAATTATGCAAATAAATTTTATTAAACATAAAAAATAAAGTTAAATAACATTCATAGAGGAGGAAGAGGAGAAGAGCGG